TTGTAAACCTTCTTCAAACAATTTCTTAAAAATCATTTCTTCCCGGGTCCTCATTCTCATCATTTTTGCACGCAACTGAACTCTGTAATCATCATAGTATTTTCGGGCACGGACAATCTGTTGCCGATTTTCTATTATCTTTGACTGTGTCAACTTCTGCCTATGAATGCGGTCCTTGAAGTCTTGCTGGGAAAGGGAAAAAGAAGTAAGGACAAGAGGAAGACAGACTCTGGCATTCTTAGCTGCTCCACTCCCCATCACGAGGTCTTCAAGGAGTAAGCCAGGCATGCAGGGCCAGGGCCTGGGCATAGACTCTGAAAAACTGTCAGCCCCCAGAAGCCTTCCAGCCTTTGGTAGGTTCATCACCAGTCTGAAAGGCTGCCCCAACGAGCCCCGACTGCTGCAGCTGGTCTTGGTGGAACTGAAGATCTCCTTTCCCCATGTCCCCTAGGGGGTTGCCCAAGCCACACCCAGATGCTTAAAAGGAGTAGGAAAAAGGCATTCTGACTTTCAAGCAAAGCTTGAGTTACACCAAGAGTATTTATGTCAAAACTAAGGAAATTAGACTATCTTACAAAGCAGTGAGGATGAAATGAGGTCATGTACATAATGCCCTCAACAAGGTGTCCAGACTGATACTAGTTTTCTTTTCCCCCAAAGTACCACACGTAGATTTTCAGCTGGCTTCCCCTTCTTTCTCTTAAATTGTTTAGGAATATACTTCTCACTGCTTATCTCAACCAAGAGTTTTAAAATCCCTTCTTCCGACATACTGTCTTTGACCTCTGTCCTCTCCATTATACTCAACAGAACTTGTGCTATGTCCAATTCTCAACCCAAATTAGAAGGGAGGGAGGGTGGTAAACTAGCTCAGTTCTCTACTTAAGACCTTAGATCAGAGAGGACAAAAAGCAGTAGCTTACAACCACCTGGTACCTCGAAGTTGCTGTGGAGGTAGAAACAGACCTGAATTAAAATCTCAACCTTGCCCCTTGCTGAGTACAGTTGGGACCATGCATAAATTAGCATCTCAGAGAAAACATCTCCATTATGTTACTATAAAGACCAAATGAAACTATATATGAAGTACTCAGCACCTTTGCCCCTCATCAGTTTTGGTTACAGCCTTAGATGCTTCCATAGACAAGTGTTAAAGGTAGAAGTCTGTGGGCCTATTACCCAGTTGTATAAATATAATTAATATAACTTACAAACTCATAATTATAAGACTCAATTTGCTCTTAACATACCAGTCTCTTGCTATGTTCATATTCTTTCTTGACAAGTGCAGTAAGGAGGTCATGCCTTTTTAAGGCTTCTTCTATCTTTAAGAGGGACAGAAAGGAAGGAGGTTAATAATGCTATTCACTAAATTCTGAAGGATAAGCTCTTCCCTTTTCTGCTTTATATTTCTAAGCTTGTAATTGACAGTTAACTTACTTCATCCTGGAGTTTCTTCTTTGATTGATTTTCTCTATATGCATCTTTTTTGAGCTGTTCAACCTGTGTAATTTGCTGTTTCCACATTTTGCTTAGTGTTTGGCCAGAAACATAGAGAAATGGAAACTGCTCCAGCATGAGGGGCAGGAGACTGTGTTCATTTACTTTCACTGCAAGGTAAAACAAAACCACCATAAAATCCCTCAATCTGAGAGATTTGCTGATAGCTTTTAATAAGAACTCTCATTCTACCTTCCCTGGTGGAGCAAAGCTTATCTAAGTGATGCAGTTCTGATCCTAGTACACCAACTACCAGGAAGGATAAGAATAAGCTCAACAGTTCTGACTGATGCAGAAGTCCATCCTAACTGCTCAGCTGACTCAGGGACCAAGGTGGACGCTGTGCGTGCGGTCAAACACTTCTCGGCTCTACTGAGAGGCAAAGTCTCTGTCTGATGGGATGTCGTTAGAAGGCCAGCAGTGTTTGAAATGGAACCCGGGCATTTCACATGACCTTGTTTTCCTTGTAACAGGACTCTAACACTCACTGGCACCAACTGTCAATATAACAGGAGCTGGACGGGACATCTGCTTGCTTTGGAGCATCCCGCGGGTTCTATCAACTTCCCAGAAACAAAGAAAAGGCAACCGGTGTGCGTGAGCAGGTGAGGCTACAGCTGGAGTAGCAGGCAGGACTGCCCATCGGTGCCGCCGCTACCAATATATAGGCCTCCCGAAGGTATTAAGAGTTTTAAATAAATGCCTTATTTATGAGTTTTCTCTCTCTTTATAGAAATCTAGCATATGGCAGTGATAAAAGAGAAACTTTCTCCAGCTAACTGGTGGATGTTAAGTTTTCAGTGCTGTGTCCGTGGAATGTAGCACACACTTTCAAAGGATGCCAGTTTTCCATAAAGTACAATTTTGTGGTTCTTACTTGGAACTGCTTTATTTGGCTTTGGCAAGCCACCTCTTGGACTTGGAGTTGTGGTTTTTCTAGAGTAAGTCTTCCAGGGCTGACTGCGTTTTGGAGTTCCTTTATGAACAGCTTCTCTGTATATTTTTTCCTTAGAAGCAGACATAAAACAGAACAGAAATAAAAGTCCAATAACGCTCTCATATATTATCTTAAATATTACACATTGACAAAAATAGCTAACTAATCCCCTACCAAACACCTTACTTCCAATTTCTAAAATCTGCTTAGTGTTTATCTAAGTTAAAAGCATCTTTTGGCTTCTGGCACCCCTTGGAATCTGAAAAAGCACTGAATCTTTTTTGAGTTTCAGAGTCACCATAGTCCCACACCCTAAACACAACCACTAATAATGTTTTGATGTACTAGCTTCTTTGACAACTTTTTCCATGTAGATTAAAAAAGTTCTTAAATAGGGCGCATGGGTGGCTCAGTTGGTTAAGCGACTGCCTGGAGTCCCAGGATCGAGTCCCGCATCGGGCTCCCTGCTGTCAGCAGGGAGTCTGCTTCTCCCTCTGACCCTCCCCCCTCATGCTCTCTCTCTCTCATTCTCTCTCTCAAATAAATAAATAAAATCTTTAAAAAATAAAATTAAATTAAAAAAAAGTTCTTAAATAATGTTTATTGTAGCCATACTGTATTTTATATCCTGTTTTGTTCATGAACATTCCAGCACAAGCATTTTTCCTGTTTTCACTTAGTTTCTGTAACCATCCTTTTGAAAAGGCAATGGACATGTCTGCTTTGGGATTCTTCCACCCAGGCACAGAACAAGGGGGATCTCCTCATTCCCCTTTAACCTGTCAGCTTCAACTATCTTTTAAACCCCTGGTGAACAAACCCCGTAACTGATGGAAGTTTTGGACAGGAAGGAAAAGTGCTGGTATCCTTTGTCACCAATCGTCTGCCTTCAGCTTGGGTCATGATCCCAGGATCGAGTCCCACATGGGGCTCCTTGCTTGGTGGGGAGTCTGCTTCTCCCTCTCCCTCTGCCACTCTCCCCTGCTTGTGCTTGCGCTCTCTCTCTCTGACAAATAATCTTTAAAAAAGTTTCTTTTTTTAAATAAAAAAAAGATCATCTCTGTATTTTCCACTGATCTGATCAAGTTGCATTTATTACAGTAGAGACTTTTACCCACTGTTTCCTCCTCCTCATTTATTCCTAGAGATCCAATATTCTCTTGAACTTTATTTCTTCTTAGTTCCCTTTCAAATGCTTCAGTTATTGCCTAGAGCAGAAAAAGCCATATGACATTACAGTTACTAAAAACATACAAAATGAAAATGTAGGGAAAAAATTTAACCTAAGATTCTGCCATTCCATTTTTTTTTTTTTTTTAAGTTCCTTTCAGGCCCCCGCTATCCTAAATATACATTATTTAACAGACATGTAATTGGGACATAAAATTTTATGTCCCCCCAAAAATGCATTTTTTTGTTCTCTGGTTTTGTAATTATTTTGACAGTCCCTTGAGTAGAAGTTACATGTTATTATAAGACATCTGAATTAATTTCAGTTTTTCACAATCATAAAATATGCTATAGCAAACAATGTACGTGTTCTAAATTTATGCTGCATTTCAAAATCCCTATTCCACAGCAGAAAGCCTTCCTTGGTAATCGTATTTCTCCATGTTGAATCTTAACCACTTCCTCTCATTCCTGTCTTGGGCACTTTAATCCTACCTGTAACTCAACTAGTCTTACCACTTTTAATCCACCTCCAATTCTCATCCTTTCTGAAACACTCTCTGAAAATATCAACCCACACTGATCTACTCTCTTTGAATCCACTGGAGTACTGGGTTCTATCTGACAAGGTTAGTTTTCTTAGAGTATCACAAGTATAAGTTTTATGTTCCATAAAGGTGGGGGGGGGACAAAAAGCTGTGTCACATAATCTCCTACCATCCACTCAGTTCAAGAATATTAAATGCATTTTAAGCCTTTAATCAACAGTACGTTCACTGTAGTATTTGGTTGAGGGTAAACGGTATTGCCTGCTACCCAATCATAGTCAAAGATGGGATGTACCTTTGCTTGGAATTGCCGAATATCTGTTTCTTTTGGCTTTCGCTGCCTTTTTCTCTCCTTATGGAACTGTGTGTTTTTGTTAAGTGGAGATGGAGAGAGCGAGTGAGATCTGCAGGGCGGCCTTCTACGCGTGGAAAGTCCTACAATAGGACATGTACCATTAGTTCCTGTACAGCCAGAAATGTTAAGTTGGAAATCAAATAGTTGATTTTTACCAAGTCCAAAAAGAATGTGAATGCGCTAAACGTACTCTCTCCTATAACTAATTTGTTTTTTTTTTTAAATTTTATTTGAGAGAGAGAGCACACGCCCAAGTGGGGAGAGGGGCAGAGGAGCAGGGAGTCAGACGCGGGGCTCAATCCCAGGACCCTGGGATCATGACCTGAGCCGAAGGCAGACACTTAATCGACTGAGCCACCCAGGCGCCCGTAACTAATTTGTATTTATTTGTATGTTTAGTCAGACCAATACACAAATGTATACAGTCCCAAAAAAGTACTTAGGTTCTATATTCAACTTTGGATTGAAAATGGAGCAACATGTGGAATTAAGTGGAAGGAAGTGGTGGTGGAGAAAGAAAATGTTAAACTATCCAAGCTGTACGTCTGCTATCCTTTTATACCTACCTAGGTCCTGAGGAGGTAGGATATAAGTATGTATACATCTTACCCTTATAAAGCAGCATGCTTAGAAGAAAAAGTTAACGTAATTCAGCATTTTCTAAGTAGTCCCAATTTTTCCTTATGTAGTTAAGTTGGCCCTAATTCCACACTGCCTAAGAGATCTAACCAGTCACTTCATAAATGTTTTTATGTTCCACTGTTTTTAGTTGTACTTGGGCATCTGCTAGCTGTGTAGAGGTGGACTCCATGCCTTTTTCAGAAAAGTGAGTAGTTCTAAGGTTAAGGAAATTAGTTTGATATCTTTAAAACCTTCTCAGAGAATTCAAATTTCCCTAAGCTTTTATTTTTCTCACTCTCTTAATTCAAATCTTTCAAATATAAGATATTAAGGGGGTGCCTGGCTGGCTCAGTCAGTGGAGCATGCAACTCTTGATCTCAGTGTCATGAGTTTGAGCCCCATGTTGGGCACCAAGATACTAAATTAAAAAAGAAAAAAGATTGGGGCGTCTGGGTGGTTCAGTCAGTTGGACATCCGACTCTTGGTTTTGGCTCAGGTCAGGATCTCAGGGTCCTAAGATTGGCTGGTGTCGTGCTCCATGCTCAGTGGGGAGTCTGCTTGAGATTCTCTCTCTCCCTCTCCCTCTGCCCCTCCCCTCGCTTGCTTGCTTGTTCTCCAAAATAAATATATAAATCTTAAAAAAAAAAAGATATTAAGAAAAACTGACTTGCAGGGGCGCCTGGGTGGCTCAGTCATTAGGCGTCTGCCTTCAGCTCAGGTCATGATCCCAGAGTCCTGGGATCGAGCCCCGCATCGGGCTCCCTGCTCTGCGGGAAGCCTGCTTCTCCCTCTGCCTCTGCTTGTGTTCCCTCTCTTGCGGTGTCTCTATCAAATAAAATCTTTAAAAAAAAAAACAAAAAAACTGACTTGCACAACTGATTTTAAATGATGTTTTTATGACATCTTATGTCCATAATGTATTCTTTTCATTAAAGATCCAATGAAAATAACATTTTAACTTACAGTGAGTTTTCAAAATGGGATATGATGTGTATGTGGATAGAAGGGAAACATGTAGGTTACTAGGTGAGGCTTACCTAGCAATTACTTGGGAAAGTTTAAGGGGAGAAAGATGAAACAAGAGAAAAAAAAGATTTTTGGAGTAAAAAGCTGTTCTACTAGATGTAGAGCCTACGGAAACTTTTTTTTTTTTTTTTAAAGTAAACTCTACTCCCTACATGGGGCTCAAACTCACAACCTACAACCCTGAGATGAAGAGTCCCATGGTCTATACCTAAGCCAGCCAGGTGGCCGAAGATTCTAGAGAAATTTCTGCACATGTTACAGGTTGTACATTGTTTCTACTTTTCATAACTACACTTTTGCAATCTGTATGTCCTGCAATAGAGGAAATGGTGATATATATATTCATACAAATGGAGTATTATTCTATGACCTTAATAAAAATGAATGCTGGATCTGTAATCAACAAAGATTTCCAAAACAACATTAACAGAAAAAAGTTGCAGAATAATACAGTATCTTAGTTTAAAAACATAAAATAATAGCATTTATAAGTAAATATGAGCTGTTACCAGTATAAAAACAAGAATGAGAAGGTTCCAGTTTAAGATGGCAATATAGAGGCTCCTGAATGCACATCCTCCCATGGATGCACTGAATCTACAGCTACATATGGAATAATTCCCTCAGAAGGGAATCCAGAAACTAGCTGAATGACTCCTACACCTAGGTGAATGAGAAAAAACCCTACATTGAAATGGGCCTTGGCACACCCTCTGTCTATTGGGAGCCATTAAGAACCCAGAAGGCAGTTTGGACAATCACAAGGGTTTGAGACACCCAAGAGATAGGGACAGGCACTACTCCTTCAAGACTGGGAGAGGTGGGGCGCCTGGGTGGCTCAGTTGGTTAAGCGACTGCCTTCGGCTCAGGTCATGATCCTGGAGTCCCGGGATCGAGTCCCGCATCGGGCT